TCAAGAAAGCCAAATAATTTTTCAACAGTATTCCATAATGGAGTAGAACTGGTGCATTGCCATTCCCATGCAAGAAAAGAAGGACTGGTGGTATACGGACCCTACTGGGGCTGATTTATTCTATCTACACCATCATACTCTTGGTATTAAAAAAATCTCACACAACTTAAATGTAACAATGTTTTTCATCTCTACTAGCTGTGGCTTGGCTAGAACAATCAACAATAAATTAATTCTGAAAAATGTAATTCAAAATGTCCCACAAATGTGTTGCAAATTAAGGGCTTTATGTTGCCAAGTTTAAAGACCAGTGGGGCTGATACTCTGAAAAGGTGCCAGCAGGAACTGGAGAAGTGGGTGAAAAGCCAACAATTTTCTCTTGGAACAACCTGCATTTATCAAAATCTTCAGAATTATATCCACTAAGAAGTTTCTTTGTAGCACACAAAACACATAGTGACTGAAGAAAGAAACAAGGTATCTAGGAAGAAAAATACCGTGCAGGAGGCTGACTTCTATTTTGTTTCAGCTCGTACTTCTGTGCATAATAAAAGCACATTTAAAACCCGAATATTTAATACAAACTGAAATAGGAATTAATTTGTCATTAAACCAATGGAAAGTATGATTTTAAAATCCAGTGTTAAGATTTTTAGAATAGATGGTAATAGGTGGTGATGGTAAAAGTAATTTATATCTAAATCACAGCAACTGTAGGAAGCTCTACCTTTGTCCTCCACCTACCACACCAAGACTTTCCCACAGGAGAGAACAACAAATAGCAAACACATTTCTGTTGCTTGGGAAAGCTGGGTAAGTAATGTACCTCCTTAATTCTGTTATTCTTAATCATTATAGTCCGCTTCTTTGCTTGATGCTGTTTAATCATGGGACATCCCAAAGCTATGATGAGCTGCATTTATTTTAGTTTGCTCCCTGACATAAAGGAATGCTATAAGGGACATTTCTGCAGAAACTGCTGTTGTGATAACAAGTAGAAATTTACAGACTGTTAGAAGACATACGTCAGTTCCTGTATTTCCCAAGATCGCAAGAAATAGTGGGTATTGATTTAGGAACGTCCTGCCTGTAAATGTCAGCTTTAAAATTGGAAAGCAGAACTCTAAATATTAAAACTGAGTACTAAGAAAAGAGAAGTCCCTTCAGCAATTTGCGGTTTAAACATTAAGAAATCTTGATTTGTGATATAGGCCAAGCACTACTGTAACAGAGACAGCTCTTAGACATACCCTGTAAGAAGATACTTCTCCGTTATTTTCATAGAGAGAAAATAAATCACATGGTTACCTAAAATATTTAATACTAATGCTAAAGTTGCAATATAATTTCAGCTCCAGTATGCAAACTTCAGCATGAATAGGTTAGTAATTTACTATGTACTAGTTTTTAAGAACTTCTTTCTCTCTAAGAACAAATGCAAGGGTTTTGTTGGGTTTTGGTTTTTTTTTAACTAATTGGAAATAACAACCACATTACTTAGCCTAAAGTTTCTGAGTAGTAGCCACAGTGTGGGTTTGGGCAGCAATTATTTTTTGAAGATAGATAGGAAACTTTCCTCTCCCAAAAGAAGTTTCATTTATGTGCAAAATGTAAAAAAATAAGATATTACAGAACTTTTCTGGACAACTATAATCTCCTTTGACAGTTGTTTTATCCAAAGCACAGATGTTTGCCACTTAACCATGAATGTTGGCTGACCTGCCCAAACCTCAATGAAAACCAGTTGTAATAAGAAGGTTTCTCTGCAAATGGTTATGCAAACGGGAATCTTCATTTCATGTTCATGCTGAAGTATGCCCTCTGTAATGCATTCAAAAGCACTAGGGTTTTGTGTGTGTGTGTGTTTTTTTTTTTAAAGGCTCAGAAGTACATGTACTGAAATCACAGCTAAATGCTTATTAAAGTGATGAGGGTATACACTATATCTGAAACAGTATTAACAACTAAATCAAGATGTAGATTATTCTTTCAGATTCCAAATTACATTGCAAAAAAAGCCCAGAAACTGGTAGTTAGCTCTGGTTTTTTTTTTTTCATTAAGCAAAGTGGGTAACGGTCTATCTACTGTTCTCCTTAGATGCATACACAATGTAATATAATCTTGGGGCAAAAATAGTAGCAAAGGAATAGACCTGCCTGAAGACTAGTTCTGCTGCTCAGATGGGCAGGAAAAGCATGCAAGGCCAAAGGAAAGCTATGGTAGCAGGTCATCAGATGGTGAAAACTCATCATAGAGAGACTATCTAAGCCCATACAATGTGCAACTTATCCATCCTTTTAATAACAGTCACCTTTGACAATGATGGATTTATGGGTAGTGTGGATTCCTCTGCTAGACCATGAAAACAAGCATGTTCTGGTCCCTTGAAGAGATACATGCAGAATTCCAGTTTACCTTTAAATAGTCACATTCTAGCTGTTACAGCTACAATAAGGGGCTGGAAAGCAACTGAAGCCAACTTCCATCAAAATCATCTCACTACTTTCTTGGGACAATGCAATCTTTTTAGGGAGAGATGTAAAAAAGCAATTGGCCATCTCCTCACTCCTTTATTTTACAGGAATTTGCTTTATGGGTGGGGTTGAATCTTTCTGTAGAAGGGACATGATTTGGTATTTCCCTAAAGAAAAAAAAAAAATACAGCCCCACACCAGTTGCTGAAAGCTTCCAGACTCCTACTAATCTCCACGCCTTCTGAATGGAAATAAATCTCAAGAGACCTTAAGGACAAGAATAAGGTTTGTAACTTACCCAGCTGTGTCTTTTTGTTTGTCTTTTTTTTTGTCTATGCATACACACAAGTGCATACAAACATCATTAAGGGGTGGTCAAAAGGTTTAGTGAATCCCTTTTAAGGTGGCACACACAAAATGGCTGTGATAACCTCCCTGTATCTTGCTTTCTTTGTATGGCTGAGATCACAGTTGTTTGCTATGTCTTGCAAAAGGTATCCAAGGTCTGACTTGCCACTTTTTCAGTGCCTTTAGAAGGCTGTAACACTAGTTTTAACTTCCACAACTTCACCAACGTACATTTTGATGGCATTTGGCACTACATTTTAACTAAACTTTGAATGGGCATTACAAATAGGAAACACCTAAGGTACTGAGATATAAAAGCATAGTGTAAAGTGAATCCATGATTGGACTTTAATGTATTAATGATTTTTATCCTATTAAAACACAATGTTGCATCAGTTTTACAGCACAGAATAATGGCATTATCCTACCCATAATTAAACAGTACTAATGTAACCTTTTTTAAACTCTTGACTATGCCAAGTTTCTGCTAGAGGGTCGATGCTTTAATATGACAAGTGTATTAAAATGAAAAATGCCATCAATTTATTTCTGAATTTTGATAATTAAAGCCACTATTTATGTATGCTGCAGGAAAAATAAATTAACTGCGAAAGTATACAGCTTGAGTGCTATGTTGTGTTATTTATAAAGGTAGGTCTTTGGAAATCCAGTACAATTGTTTTCTTTCATCATTACAGAAGTCACTTCTTTGTAATTGAAAATGAATGCCAGACAAGAACTATTGTTACAGCATCTCAGAAGACTGTAACTACATTGTAAGCTACATATAACTTCTCCTAGTTGTCAAGTTTTTATGCTTATAATCAAATCTCCATGAGCTATTTTCACTTCTTCTAAAAAGTGAATGGCCAGATAATGCAACTGAGCAAGAAGTTACTGTCTTACTGAAAATATACAGTTTGACTACAATATGGCTCATATATATGCGAGTAGGTGTTCATTAACAATGTACAAGGAACACTTAAGCAATTTTTGCCCCAGAGAAAATTCAAATTTGAGCAGTCAAAATATTCTGGGTCATGGCTGAAGAAAATCTTTCATGCTTTATGTAGCACATGTATATATTACGTCTTGTTCTAAACAAGGTACTGTCCTGTCCTCCTTTCAGTAACTGTTACCATTCATTATAAACTATACTATTTTGGAGAATCAGAACATGATTTAGAAAAAAAGGATTTGTGAAGAAAACTGTTTCAATTTCTAGAAGTCAAGTTCCTTTTTATTCTCACCTCAGAGAGAACTGGGAAAGAAAACAAACAGCTTTCTCTTTCTAGGTGGGAAAAGAAAAGAAATAGGTGGAACAAATACATCAGAAACTATACTCTTTACATATTGTGGGATTTTCCTCATGATATTGCATTCCTATACATGACTTCTGATGGACAAAAGTACAATATATTTACTGTTTAAGTAAAACATGGGAAGGGATCTTAAATGATATTCCTTCAGATGTCTAACCTAATAATCTATTTCTTGGCAAATTCTGGTGTACTATCCTTACATCAGTTCCCAGTTGTTCTAGCCTAGTAATACATTAATCATCTCTCTCTGCTGGACGCTAGTGGCTTGTATAAAATGAGTTCACATTTTGAACACACATTTCTCTGGCACATTTCTGGCACCTTTCTGGGAATATTCAGAGCCTAGTGACCAAACAAACATGAATAAAAGTGAATTTTCTCTCTTAAAAAATTACAAGTAATGCTGAAGCCATATGTCGGAGACTGTGATGCTTTCATTACTGGCACAGCCCAAGTTTGCTCTTTATAATTTAAAATGCAGCAAGGGAAAAAAAAAGGCATGAAAAGTTCAGAGTGCAAATATTCTTTGGTTTACTTGTTACAACAAAAGGACACAGCAAACAGCAAAAACACTGGCAATTAAATAAACAGCAAATTCTTTATAAGCTTCCTAACAAAAATGCTTCTGGTGTTTGAAATGTATTAACTTCATGCTTTTAAGTACATTACAGTGTCTAGAAAGTCACATTTTTTTATCCCCCAAGGGCAAGGCAGGTAGAAGATGAGAGAGGAAAAAGATGGATGAAAATAAGAGGGGAAAAAAGAAGAAGAAACAAAATTTATCCAACATTCCATTTTTTCATTAGTTAAATAGTATGTAACACAATACAACTAATTGCTGTTTCTAGTTTCATTGTACACAAAGCAAATTGGCTTGGAATTTATTTTCAGCAGATCAAACTTTCTGAATTCACATCATCATACACATCAGCCTAGTGTATAAAATATACTGCCTCACACCTTTTCAGAAAGAATTGTGACTTATTAGCAGGATTCTATATATCTTAAGGAATTGCACAGGTAAGTCACTGTGTTTTACCTTACCATAGGTAGAGTTAAAATTACGTACCGCAGGTGGTTTCTAGGGAATACTCTTCCCCAGTAAGGCTATTTTACTGTAGCTTATTCCTCAAATAATCCCCATTTAATCAAAGGAAGCAAGCATCTGTGCAGGTCTATAAGGATCTATACTTGGTAGCCTTGCAGACAGGAAGTTTTCACCACTGAGCTGGAGATGAACAAGCCTGTTAAGACTCTACATGACAGCATCACTGATATTATTTGAAACTGAATGCTTCATAAGGGCAACATTAGGAAGCTGTGATCTGTGCAGAGAGCATAAAAGACTATAAATGAATCAAATATATCTATTTTACAAATAAGTCAGAGAAATTATAGAGTGTACCATCACCACGATAGTCTGTTACTGACATACTGGACTCTGATAGTTTAGAAATAATTCTGTAAATCTATGAAAGATGTGGATTGTCTGACAGCATATTGTTCTGTTTTGTATATCTATCTTGCAAGACTCTTACTCTGCTTGGAGCGTTCTCTTTTATTGTCTTTATCCAGCTGTTTCCATAGGCAAAGCACAGTAAAAAAAGTCATGTGCAGTCTTTCTTCCAGATGGACTATGAATAGCAACAGATAGCTCATAACAAGGAATCAATTTAATAAAGATATTTTAGAAATAATTGTCAAAATGTAAAAAAACATTTTTGCATGCTCCCTTATTCCTTCATAAATCAACAGTGTTTCATCTACAAGTAACGCATAGGCAGTCAACATTAATACAAGTACCTATATGTTCCCCTCATCTAGCATTTTGTTGACACCATCACAAAGCTTCTGCAAATGGAGTTTATAAGGTCCAAAGGGATTGTACAAGGCAGCCAAAAATTCACAATCAGAGAAGTGATCAAACACATTGTTGACGCGTCCATGTGACTTTGCAGTTAGGTGACGCTGAATGATTTCATGAAGTAGCTCTCTACAATCATTTAACAGTTTGGACAAAAAATTCCTGTCAAAGGTATAATCCACCTGATGGAAACTGACCACGGTCTTAGCCAGCTGATGAACTTTCTTCTTGAATTTCTCCATCAACGCTATTTCATCCTGATTAAATTGGTTGTTCCTGTAGAGAATTGCCAATTTGAGGACTATTTTAATGAGGTTTTTGATGATTTTCTCTGCTTCCTTTTTATTTTGTGTATATTCCTTCGTCACTCTATAGAGCTCATCTAAAACATCACTGCTTGTATCATCGATCAAAGTAGTTGCTATTGATTTGGACACCATTTTTCCAAGGATCTTCTTCTGGGCCTGAATGGCCAGACTTTTGGAGTTGAAGACATCTGTGGCCACTGGGGGGAGAAAAAAGTATGCAGTCAATACTATATAACAGACGTACTAGGGACAGTAAGTTGAGGAATAGTTCCATGTCTATCCATTCATATTAGTCTTACTAACTGCCACAAAAATAATGCAAACTTACGCATGCAGTTGCAGAAAACCCCACCTTTTCAATCGCTAAAACTGTTGTCTCTAGGTTTACATTCTTTTATACTGTTTTACTTTTGAGAAAATACAAAAACAAGATAGAACTTGCTCAAAAATGGTTTAAAATAAACCTGCCCTATTTGATCAGATGAGTCATAAGTCTGATCTGATTCTCATATTCATAATGAATTCTGAAACCATGACTATCCCAATCTCATGACAATTACCACTGCTACTTAATTAAAGATAGTAATTCAGTGAATCAACCATTGTAAAACTTTTTCGTGCTTAGCATGACATGATCAGTGATCTCAGATCCCACACATCTATTATATTTATATATATATTTTATACATATATATAGCTATATATAAACAAATACAATATAAACACAAAAATCCCTTATCAGCAAACAATACTGAGATTCTCTGAATGCAGTCTGAAGCAGCTAATTTTCAGAAGGAAAGCAAGTATAGATTTAGCAATTCTATGTCCTATACTTAATGCAGAAATAGACAAAAATAAACAGTCTAGGGATTGCCATTAACATTTGCTAGCATAACCTCATAAAGAAATCCTTCTGTGACCAACAAAGTATATCCTAGAACAGATTTCCACCTCCAAAACTATGCTTGCTTGCACTGATATACCTAATGACCTGCTTGTAATTTCTTCAAATACTTAAAAGACCCCAAATGCTCTTTCAGAAACTTGTGTTGTGAAATGTTACAGCTCATGTTCTGTTACCAGTGACAACTATTTACACCACATTGCCTTTGCAGCACCTCCAGTAAGGCACATTTGATTTCATATTGAACCGTCTGGGAGATGGCTGCCTTTATGCTGTAGCTTTCCCGGAGTCTCAGACAGGCTGAAGGAAAGCTTCATCTGTTTACATTTACTTCACATATGGAAGGTTTGCTTTGCCAACACAGGGCCTGGAAATGTGGGGTTTTGTGGCTTTTCCCCCCCCCCCCCACAAAAAAAAAAAACCCAC